CACCGACACACCTGACTGTTACTCAGCTTTAGGAAAAGAAAGCAAACTCTTCGACAAAACCTACAACAAGCCTACAAGAGAGTTCGAAACAACAACCCTATAGAAATAGGATCCTATTGACTGGCCAATTTTTATCTCCAAATTTTTAAATAATGTTTTTTTTTCAAAAATATAATCGTTTATGACTATTACTTGATAATACTTTATGTTATACGACTCAAATAAGGAAAGGAATAAATATTTGAGTCAACGGAAACATTCAAAGTAGCTTCTCTTTTAACCGACCTTCTAGATCGAGAATGCTTTAAATGCTTTAGCAATTAGATATGGCCCATTTTTTCTTTAAAATTGTGGTAAAGGTGGTGATGTGTTTTCGAAAATGTGGATAATATATTTTGGATGTTTTGTAGTGTTGAGCGGTTGGCTAGAACTTTTTGCCTTTTGATCTACACCTTGGTTCATTCCTTGTACCCCTTGACCCTCTTCTTCTGTATGTCTTGATCCAACTCTTGAATCTTCTTCATCTACCAGCTGTATGTCCCCTCTCTTCCCATTTGCTTTTCGATTAAAATCTTTTCTGGCTTTCGGACGTGTTTTCGATTTTGGAAGTTTTGGCAATGTTTTCGAACGTGTGTCTTTAGGCAACGTTCTTGCGGGGAGTGCTTTCGACGTGGCTCCAGCGGCGAGACCGGTTGCATGCGTCGTGGGCTGGACGGGGTGGGGTGGGCGTGGAGGCGGACGAGGGCAGCGCCGGCCAGTTCCTGGGCTCCCCTGCGGTTTTGCAACTCAGCGGCGGCGACGGCGGTGGCGGTGGCGGCGACGACGGCGGCGATGGCGGTTTGTCCAGGACGCGCCTCCAGAAGAAAGTCCTCACGTCGATGCTCCGACGGCCTTGCCTCACGCGGGCGCGGCCTCAGAGCAAACTCTCTGCCGCGCGCTTCGCCGCGAACCGCAGCCTCGCGAAAGGCCCTTGCGGGACACCCGGCGCCGCGAGTGGCGCGGTTGCGTTGGCAATCGGAGAAAGCACGCTCTCCCCGGGGCGGCCAAACGAACCGCTGCAGTTGTTAGGCCACTGCGAGATGTACGCATCCAGCTGCAATGCGGATTCTGGTGCTGGTTGTAGGAATATTAATGGGGTTACGAAACGTTTCATGTAATGTCACGCTCAACATTTTTAGTTTCTTTTCGTAGTACAGTTTGGTTGGTGCAGAATATTAGTCATCCCTATATAATACTATGTACAAAAACCAATAACAAACACAATGTCAAGACACTTCACGACACTTCAGCTAGTTCTGTAATATGTGAGGAAAATGAAATGGTCACTCACCAAAAAATAGTCTTATATTAAATAATTGCACATACTACATCGTTAGAAATACATTTTATTTCGCTAAAGAATGTAGATTGACAAAATGCAAAGAGATTTTTGAAGTAATGTACAAAAGTGGATTTATATAAGACGTATTCGTAGATTCGCTTATTATTCAAATTGAGGATGCGAAGAAATCTTGACCTCCGAAAACAAAATCGCTTTCCCAACCTTCACAAGTCTGCCGTCCCATTTTCTAGCAAATTTAACTTCGGACATTATAAAGAATGGATTGGGAAGGCCGTGCATTGGTTGTAGAGAAAAACTTGAAATAGAAGTTCCTAAAAACCATTGTGTGCTAAAACGTTGTCGATTTAGAGATGAAAAAATGCCAAATAGGAAATGTTAGGAAAATTCTAGAGTCCAGAATAGAGAAAGTCCGAACAAATAATATACATTTATTGACTTTTGTTTGTACATGTTTAAAACTTGCAATTTTAACTTCATGTCCTCCGCACTTCAATTTCGCGATTTCTCTTAAACTCACGTTCACTGAATTGTAGATCCTGGTGTGTGTATTGCACACCTACTAGTTTTCTCGGAATCGCCGTGAATTTTGATCATGCTGTTGTGGATAGAAGACCTGGAGTTTAAAAGCCGATACGAAAATACATTTTAAGCGCAGCAAACACTTTCAGACTTTATTAGAAAATCGAAAAAAAGAAAGAAAGAAAGAAGGAAAGGTAAAAGAAAAGAAACTAAAGTGAAGACCGAACTCGATCGTCCAGAATTTAGCTTGTAAATGGTTTGTATGCATTCATGAGCAAATACAATTTTTAATCTTTCTGTTGTTGTTATTTTATATACATTTTGGACGTAAGGTCTACTGTTCGTGAGAATAGCCTGTCATGCAACTCTACAATTTTGAACCAAATGTACAAATTGTGAAACACATTTTATTCATCCCTTGCGTCATTTACAAGGTGGAGAGTTCGGCTGCAATGTGGAGTCGTCCTTGGTAGCGTCGGGCGCGGGGCGGCGGAAACGAAACGGCCTTGCAAGGTCGCGGCGGGACTTGGCCGCCTGGAGGAGACGGAACGCTCCCCGCACAACACGATTACAGCCTCCGGGGCGGAGGTGCTCTCACACGGTGGCTGGGCATGCGTACAATAAGCGGGCAAAATTCGAAAAACTAATATCTTGAGGAACATACATTCAAAAGGTGACATGTTCATTTGACAAAAATTGATTTCTTCTGTTGTTTTTACCTAGAATCGTATTTCCCGGGAAAATCTGTTGTTGTCCAACCTGGAGTTGTCTTAAGTAGTACTTTATTCGTTGAGTTAGTACTTTATTCGTAGAGTTGACTATGTCGAAAAGTGTAAAATTTGTGCTATCTTTTTAATTTTTATCGCAAAAGTGTGAAGTGGATATGACACGTTTGGTCCTTGTCATTATTTAGTTAGGCGAAAAAAAATAAATTTAGAAAATAGTGTATTTTTAGTGGTCCAGTCAGCATTTTTAATTGGGGGGGGCTGTAGATTTAGTGTTCAGCCTACCTGATGCTTTCTTATAAAGATTTTTTTATGCAGAATCAACATTTGAATTTAATGTTTGGCATCGTACTTAGAACCTACGATCTCTTGATGTATGGACCTTTAGTTAGGAATTTTAAGGAATTGCAAGAGGATTTTTCGTCCAAATTTATGCGACTCTGACGTACGGCGGCACAGTGCGGCGGCTGCGAAGACGAAATAGCTTTTTTTTACAATCTCTCGACTTCGTTGCTTCACCAGTGGCAGCTCGGCGATGGCGGAGCGCCTGCAGGAAGAGAAAGATCACTGCCGTGTGGTACGGGCGCTTGGCAACCGGCAGGGTGATTTCATGCATGCGCGAGCGAACAACTACTGTTAGAAATGGCAGCCCGTTTGCTCGGGCACTTATTCGTGAAGGCGGATGTTGCAATGAAGCTTCCGGTAACTACTAACCACATACCACGAAAGAAGATTGATGTTACTGGAGACCTATTACAAAACTGCACATATTATATACATACGCTATGTAATCATAGGGACGAAGATCTCTGAAATATTGTTTGAATTTTGTATTCAGTTGTAACAAACAGTACAAGAAATGAATTGATTCCCTTAAACGGTTCAGTTACTAAATGCCATTGTTGAAATACTATTTTGGGAATAATTGTAATTTAAAGTTTGCGAATACGAATTAAATTGGGCTAATTATCAAGATCTAATAGAATAAACAGTCGACTTTTTTTAAGAATTCATTTGTATTTGCAGTTTACTTAGAGTAAAATGTACATTATCTGTCACCAATTCAGATTCTAAATTCACGTTAGTTACAGTGAAAATTGTTTAGGAAATATGTCACTAAAATCGTATGCAAAAGATTGCATGTAAAAATGAATCGTGAGCAACATGCACATGCGTCATCTTAGTTCCGCGTGAAGACATTTCGCAGGCAGTGTACGAAAGTTCTAACGTGCTAATTGTGTTTACTATATGTCATACTGGGTGCCGTAACGTTTGCGCTTGCGAGTTCGCAACTAAACGGAGTGACAAATCTCTACCAAATATTCTTGTTGGTTAAGACACCTTCCCTTACTACCCGTTTTCCCCTGGCAACAAATTAGATCGATAGATCCAATAGATCAATAGTCAAGAAGGCGGTCGTTCTCATCCAAAGTTTGCCTGGTTTTCGTCCATACATTGCAGGCGAATGCTGGAGTATTACCTCAACGGGTCACGGAACGTGATAGATCTTGCTTTGCACTCCCTGCTGCCACTCCAATCTCAACGGTTGAACGATGAGCTGATGATCACATACTTATAAAGCCTAACCGCATGAACCCAAATCACTCCGGCAGCATTGCGCAGGCGCGAATGTCAGAAGGAGGTTAAAAGTCGGCTGTAGTGCCATAATTACTGGTGGTGCTAAAACAGAACTTACATTCTCGTCCGTATTTTCACGTGAAAAGGAATCACGATTTTGAAAAATTGGACATGACCTTACTTCAAAATTTGTCTTTTAATTAAGGGAATGATTTCATTAAGGGAAAACATCTTTATATTTTATATTGCAGTTTTAGGAAGACCAAATTTTTTGTTTATTTTCTTTTTTCGCAATTTTTGAAAAATTATAGTTTTCAACGAACATAAGACCTGCACCATTCCCTTAAACGTTCTTCAAACTATCCAACATCAAAATATCATCATAGATGATGGAGCAATTTCTTTGAATATTTTGAAAATGACCCAGGACCTTGGTACAAAGTGTCACTGAAAATGTAAATATTTGTTTCAAATTCAAGGAGCCATGACATCAGCCAGATCCGTTGAGGAATATCAATTTTGGAGAAAATCGGCTGAACGGTTTAGCCGCTAGCGTTGTTCACTGACGGACCAACGTTTTGCCGTCATTCGATTTTTTGGTATGAAGATCGCTCAAAACATGGATCTAGCAACATCACGTGATATTTGATTTTTTTGTAAATTTAGCAACTGGATATATCCACGTTTTCGTTACTAGGGCCCTGCAATAAGAGTTTTTCTCTTCAATATTCGCCGTTTTTCGAGCAGCATTACTAAACGTTCTCTCTACTCTGTAGTGAGATAGTAAAAGTGACGGGCTCCGAGCCAACCAGCAATTGCCTCTCACTTTGTTGCAGCAGCCATGCAGTGCTTGAGGGCGGCCCGTTGGAGCTTGGTGGCGCTGCTTCTGGCGGTGGCCGCGCAGAGTGCGCACGCGACGCCAGTGGCTGCGCGAGATCTGGCGGTGGCCGAGCAAGCCGCTCCCGTGCCACTCGAGGTGAAATATCTTCATTTGGTCCTCTTTTCTGCACTTAATATCGTATTTTTTAATGAAGTTTTATACTTTTCGGAGCTTTTCACTGCGTTGCCATTCCGTGTAGAATTTTTTGGATGTATTTTCTATATGCTTGCTTTTCCTTTGATATATTTAGTGTAGAGAAAAAATATTCGAATCAGAATCGAGGTTTCGATAAAAAAAATCGTTTTGAAAGTTCTGAAATGAGAACATGAATTGTAGTGAGCGGTCTTTAAATATTTATGCATGGCACGCGTAATTTGTGCAGATTGCAAGCCTTTGAGCTGTAATTTGGTACTCAGGATTAAAGTCTTTTAGTGCCATTCCAAAGATGTTTAAGATTCAATTAGATGGCGACAGAATATAAAAACATTAGGTTTGTATAAAACGGGAGTAGCAATCTGCGAATTGTCACATAAACACAATGCATGCGAACTGGGATAATAGAATATGACATTATAACAGCTCCCATGTCCAAAATTTCCATCGCATACACTTCTGGTCCATAAGACTAAAGTGGGGCAATTGGTGAGAAAATAAATATCGATGATAAAATGAAATCGTGCCAAATACAATAAACTTCCTCAGTATTATTCGTACCTAACCTACGGTAGCGCGGCCAGTGGGACGTGCTATCAGAAATTGTCAGGAAATGTTTCGGTACGCCACGCATTCGCCCGTTTGTAGGAGATTCCTTTTTTGCCTCTCATTCTACTACTGTTTCACCATTCCATTCTCATTGCTTCTCATTATTAGCAACTTTCTACCAAATACCGAACAAAAATCCTTCATTGATGATCTCATTGTTTGTATTGTTGTCATATTTCATAATTAAAATCTTGCAATTACTCCACAATGCACTGATAAACGTGACTGTGCATTGGATTGCTCGATCGGGCGTGCGGCTTCTGCCCCAGGCCGTGGAGGTGATCCTGGAGCCGGAGGTGTTCGGCGCCGAGCTGCCCGCGGGCGGCGAGCGCGACAAGCGCGCTTTAGAGGCCGTGCTGGTGAAGCACCTGGGCGTCAAGAACTACGTCCTGGGCCTGCTCTTCGGGGTAAACACACGCTGCACACTTCTAACACAGACCTACACGACACTCGATGCTGGGTAATTGGAGACCAAGAGCAGAAGGCTGATCCTTGGCTCTCCTCTGCAATCTTACAATAAGCACGGATTATTGTAGGAAATACTGTGATAGTTTACCGTCACCCGTCATTAAGTAATCGCTAATTGAAAGCTTATTTGACTCGTTTGCTTCAACGAGCACTTCAACTGCACTTCTTAATTGTTCACTTTCCAACAGCTTCGGATGTGAAAAGTTTCAAATTAATATAACGATTTAATAGCATCATTCATGTAATTCATCAGTATGAAAAACTTGGGAAAAGTGAAGAAGAAAAAACTTAATGTATTGCTAACGAACTACAAATAGTAAATGCAAAATGGTTTTCATTATTCTATCCGGAATCGAAAATACTACACACTCCACGTTTCCGTTATGATATCACCATCCTACCATTTATATCGGTACTGATAATATACAGTTAGGTCAAACGTCATTACGTGGCATTATTGTTTCATTTGTTGTTGCATTCGAGAAAGATAGGAAAAATACTCGCAGGTGGACATTAAACACATTTATTTTCTAGTTGTATCCTAATATGACTCAACACTTCACCCCATACACATAATTACGATTGATCTAATGCATTTTTCCTGTATACAAACCAATTTATTACAGAATAAAATATAATTGCTGGTCCGTCTCTTTCCACAGAAAATTAACCAGGCGATTGACCACAAGACAGCTCTTCTAAAGCAGCTCGACCAACTGAACATTCAGAAGAACGAAGCTTTCGGCATCACCGGAAAATCCCAGCCCTGCCAACCGGTAGGCTAAGCTCCCCGCCACATACCACACCCCGCACGGCAAAAGCCGGGCAAACTCCTCATCAACACCATCCCCGACAAAATTCGTAAAAAAGAATTAAAAACAACCCAATTGTGTATTTGGTTTCTTGGAAAGGCCCGTCCGTTTCCCCTGCCTTTCTCCACCTCTGGTCAGTTTCCCACGCCCTCGTTATATTTCATTGTATTTATTCATCCTCTCAGCTCCTCTGTTCCCTGCTTCATTGTGTGATATTGCTAACATATTTCTATATGTTTTACTGTACATAAATATGCTATATTTTTATGATACTTGAAGTAAATTATGTTATTGTTAAACATGGAATAGAGAATGGTTTTTCTACGAAACATTTCGTAAAAATATTTGTCTTATTTGTTCTTTCCCCTTGCCTATCCCAAAAGCGTTGCTTTGCAGCGTATCCTATAATGATGATATCGAAATAAAAACACAGGAGAAATAAATAAATAAATAAATAAATTACAAAAATAATAAAAATTCAAAAATGAAATGAGTACCCTCTAGAAAAAATCCTTAGATAATCCCCAATGCATAATTGCAAAAAAGTCCAATGAAATATACCTGGACATCGGATACTAGATGAACGAGATAGTCTATTACAATATTATTAAACTGGTATAAACATTTCTAGAAATATCTTTTAGTTCTTCCAAAACTCAGGATGAGTCATTTGACTATGTAAATATAAGCGATAAAAATATATCGGAAATTAACTAAGCGCTGTATTTGGAAGGCTAAACAGAATCCAATTATATAATGATAGATTACTTATAACTCTTTTATGAAGTATTTTTTAATAAAATTTTCACCTAACTTCCATGCTCATGGTTAATGTTTAATATTTAAACATGCAAAGTGCAAATTAAACAATGGCAAGAAATTCAAATAAAAAAATTATAACAAATACATGGAGTTAGAATATATAGAAACGCAATACCCGACACTTTAAGATTTGCAAAACATCCACTAATTTTGTTCGAGCATCATCACATCATCGTCCATTCCATTCCTCTTCCAGATCTTGCCTTGACAAAAGGTGGAATTGAACAATAACATATTGCAAAACAATCATAAGAAATGTTTTAGCAACAATAAAACAATTAATTCTCTACAAAGAAACAATTATTTTATAAAGTTTTTTAAAATATAATTTAAAAATTAAAATTAAAAAGCAATTTACATCTAGAAATTTAATTTTGTAAATTAAGAGAACAAACCAAAAGCAGTGTTGTGGACGTGTTGCAGCGCACGTGCAACGGCAGAGCCACCACAGCCAGGCCTGCCACCACAACCACCGAGGACCCGGACATTCCGGAATTCGAACGCAACGCCGTGTCGCTCGTCATTCCATCGGAGGTGTTCGGAGCCAGCTTCACGCTTCTCAACAACATCGGGATGACACTCGGAACGTTAGTTGAAGTGAGTTGAAGCCCGATAACACGATCTCCGCCGATCCGGGAAGCCGAGATCACTAATGTAGTTGTGTCGCGGCGATCTCGGATCGAAGGATCGCGGGTTCGCATCCCGCCTCGGGCATGTATGTATGTGTGATCGTCCTTTCACCCCTCGTCATCATCATCATCATCATCATATCATTTCATTAAAGAAGTGTTAATAATTCCCTGTTCCAGGAGGAGACCGTTGCTCTTAATAGGATGTCGCAGTTAGCTAATAAAAAAACGATCTCTAGAAATATTTAGGTTTTTTGTATTTTTTGAGAAAATAAGCTTTTCAACACCAAAGAAAGTTCAATACTGAAATAATATTTTATTACGGAAAGTGAAACTGATAACAAAAATCAAATCCCTAAGTACGGCGGTACAATTTACAGCCAAAAAAAGAAACCCAAGGTCTGTTAACAAATTTTCACTACCAAAATTAGAAATTTTAACCTTCAAATGTACTTTCATTTGTTACTTCAATACTATGGACACCAGGCCATTTTCTTCTATATTATGAGTATTTAAAACGTTACAATTCCAACTTCACTGTTCGGTCTTTACTAGAAATATTCTCGTTACCGCAATGAGCATTACCACTATAAAAACGTCATTTTTAACATTTATTGCACTTCAGAAACTCGGGCCTTATTATACGTTATATTGTGATTATAGAAATTAGGAATAAACAGATGCCGAGACTAATATAACGAAAAATGTTGTGGAGACGACACAAAATAACGTTTCGTATATTATCACTCTCACCAGAGTATACTGAGTTTCTCTATGTCTGCAGGTTTTAGTGGGGAATAACGCGACTAGTTGCGTAACTCCCGGAACCAATTTTACTTCCCGATTTCAGATTCCAGTAGCTACATACGGGGAATAGAACGCCTCACGAGAACAGGTTTGGGAGAAATTCATGTATCAGTTTTATGATAGTGATTGCTATAAGTTTGATTTGTTATTGTATTTTACATATAATGTATAACCAACAGTAAAAAGTAATATCTATTATTACCTTTATATTACAGGAGCAGTACTCTAACAAAAGGGTCACAGGCAGCGCGCGATCTTTCCTTCTTCTTCCTTGTCCTATCCTCATCCCTTACACACACACACACACACACACACTCATACTTACGCTTACATGCACTACACTACATCTCCTGACGGGATGCAGTGTTGTAGATGCGATACTTAGCACTTGTTTGTCAGGGGCGGTCACCCGCTGATGGACGATGGATGGAGAAACGTTCGCAAGCTGACATAAAAAGTCGGCAACGGATCTCACTACTTTGCTGGATAAAAATACCACAACATGATAAAAACATGAACTACACTTACTGGCGCAATGACTACGAAACGTGAAATTATCAATCAATCCCGTAATTAATCTCACGAAAGTAAACATAAGTATTATTTAAGTAGAAATCTGAGAGGACACTGAAAAAAGAGTATCCCTCTAGACGAACAGCAGACCCCATCCTCCCCTCAGCGATCCTAGTCTTTCCAAAACCGATGAATTGACGCCCTGACCAGGGCAACTGTTTTGAGCAGGCTGCCTTACGACACTAACTTAATCACTGGCTCCTTGAATCTGGAGTCAGCTGAACGTATTGTCAGCTCCGCAACACAACACACGAGCTGGTTTGATTGATTAGTCATTCCTAGCGCTTCAACTGCTAAGGTCATTAGTCCCAGAAGTATAGTGCATGATTTTCCTCGGGAGGCGGCGGAGGTTTTTCCCCGCCGGATGGGTTAGATCCGGCTTCGACGTACTTGTCGGTTAGCGCGTTTTCCTCATCCAGGTATCTCCCACCAGCGGGACACCGCCCCAGCCGAGACAAACCCTAAGCTTCCAACTAATCTCCCGACATGTGTGGTAGTGTAGTGCTTGTAAGGGTAAGCATTTGTAAGTGATGAGGATAAGACAAGGAAGAGGACGAAAAGATCGCGCGTGGTCTCTGACCCGTTTGGTAGGATAGTGGTCCGGGATTCACGTCGTGTTGATCGGAAAAATCACGGAAAACTACCGATCAGAAGAGCTGCCCGCCAGAATTCTCCTCCACACAGTGACTGAATTCGACCTAGCTATCTAACAAGCGACGAAAATCCTGCTACCATCGAAAATCCAGCTACTTGAACTAAGGACCTTCCGGTCAGAGGCGCGGCAGTGACATCCGTTGATGCTCTAAATGACCTCTTCCGATACTAGCTAGCTAGAGACAAGCATCTATGGCCAGTAATGGATACATACCCATTGTATTTCCACTGAAGTGTTCGTTCTGTAGAGGTAAACCTACGAACGGACCTTAAGACGTAATTAAGTCTTATTGTAAAGTATACCAAGTGAGGTTATCTACCTCTGAGATATGAAGCAAACACACGTAGTTGAACAATTGTCGTAACATACGAAGATATCCCTAAATACTAACGTCGCTAAAAAGTCAAAATCTCTTAACTAACGACTCACTCTCCAAAAGTGCCTGGCATTCCATTTTAGATCGACTCTTCCTGATCACGTAGTGAGCGCTTATTATAACGATGTTTGGCCGCAAACCATCCATACACCGCGGTTCTTTTTGCGGACAGAACCGGCTTGGGTGCTGTACACGCTGTGTCGCCATATCCGGGTTTGGTACTCATAATGTGAAACACCGTCCAGTTCTCTTGTTTCGGCACGTCAGAGCAGTGAGTGAATATGTACTACTTTAAGCCGCGTCAACTTGCATGGTCATTAGTCACATGAGTTTAATGCAAGCTCTAACACAGACGGCGGCGTCCCTTTCCCTTCGTAAAGTGAGATCGCCCCGACCTACACGTCGGCTTGCGAGTTTTCCCTCCAAGTATCCCCCCAGAGGGACACCGCCACAGCCGGAACATGTTCTAATCTCCCGACTGGTCTCCCGAACTGTGTGGTAGTGTAGACCATATATGTTACAGAAAAGGAGGGGAAGAAGGGTCAAGGATGGTGAAGGTTGCGACCGGTCCGTGGCCAGTTTGTTAGGAAACAGCTCCGGCATTCGTCTGATATTGATCGAAGAAACCACGGAAAACCACACACGAGAGCAACCGATTGTTGAATTTGTCTTCGGACCATGGCTAAAACCGACCTAATTGTTTCTAGTGTCCATAATCCACCGCCATCAGAACTCAAACCGCATGACCTCCCAATCAGAGACGGCAACTGTTCTCCCTGAACCTCAGTGTCAGCTCAACAGTAGAGCACATTGTCTGTTTTTATACCGTCCATTGTGTTGCAGAACACCGCTATGCGCACGCAGCGCTTCGTGGAGGCCCTGAAGCCCGTGCTCAGCAACAAGCTGGGCGTCACCACCCGCGGACGCTCCATCCGTGATTCCGTCGACAACAACTTCGTCAGGCGGAGATAGTGGCAGCCGCCGACAGCGCCTCGTGGCCGAGCTCGAATCGTGAAGGCTAGAGAACAGGAGATCAAACTTGGATGACAATCTTTGGGAAAACTTAGGGTGAAAGTGTCGGGGATTGGGAACAAGTACTCATAAAATTGCGTCGATGTAGGTAGGACCATGTTACTTTGAGCCAAACTGTCGAAGTCTAAGGGTCAAAACGCTGATCCCAAGAAACAGCGTTCACAACGGCTTCCTCTTGCGCTGACCTTGCTCGACTCGGGAAAATTGAATGAAAGTTCAAATATTTGGGGGTATTTATTCCATTGATCCACCTCCCCACCCCAAGTTACTTTATGATGGTAAGTAATGTGAAGGATGTTCATTGAAGTATTGATCTCGTCTGCCCCGACGGCGCCAAATGGACTGGTTCAATCCATTTTCCGAGACCTTTCTCAGGGCTGAAATGGGACATCACTACGTTTATAAAAACATCGGATGTAGGCCATAGATATAATCACAATTACTGAAGGGAAGTCTGCTAGTTAGCTAAATATGATAGTACATAAGGTCTACCTCAATGAAATACGTGCCTTAAAATATCAATATCATTTCATTGTTTTAATGTAGCTGTGTAAACTTTCGATACTTAAAGCAATGTAGAAAATGTGTAAATAATTATTTAAAACTGAATGTTCCATTCATGATGTGCGAAAAAACGATTGCGCCGTTTACAACAGAGATCCCATTTACAACCATCACTATACCATCGACCACCACTTTACTACCATCGATAAACTCCATTGGTCTGGCGTTTAACCTGTTCTCTAGACTTCATGACTTGAATACTCGAATAATCGTCCATTGTGAACATAATTTATTATCATTTTGTAGGTTACATCTTCTCAGTCAGAAGAATGAGGGATGCGTCAGTCAAATACATGCTCAATACTCTTCGATTAATAATAGTAAATTATGTTTTTTTAAGAATCATTATGGTTTTAGCCTATTCTATTTGTTTTGTACTTACGATTTTGCACTGCGGCTCATTCCTTGTGAAATAAATTTCCAAATCCTTTCCCTTGTTGAGCCACTGTTTAAAACTATTATTCATTTCAGGAAAAATAAAATGTTGTAAACTTCACGCTTGTGAAATCAGCGGTAAGTTGTTCATACATTGTGAGTAATAACGGGAATGTATCTATGGAAAATCAATGTGCTAAGATTTAATGAGAAAAAAGAGAGGTATGTATTTCTGTTGTGATCTACTATTTCTTCGTGAGAGTCCCTAATATGTGCCATTCACTCATGTGCACGCTTGTGTAATGAGTTGATGTAAAATACTCCCACGTTTATTATTTATTGTGTAGTATCATTACTGAGGTTTTGTATTTTCCCAGTTAAGTAATTGTGCTTATTTCAAATGTAAATTTTTGTAAGAATTAAATGGAGGATAATATTTAGAAGAGCTTCATCTCTTACAAAGCTGCAAGATTTTCATCAAATATCTCGATATTTCACTTTACCGAAATCCTCATTCTTTCTCTTGTATAAATGCGATAACTCTTGACTAATGGCCTTGAACAGCGAAATGCAGCATAAAAAAATCACAAAAAAGGGTTTTCCAAAACGTAACACGCACACTGCTCAAAAACAAGTAAAATACTCTCTTATAACTGCAATAAATAAAATGTTTTGAGAAAAGTCTTCACGAATACATCAATAACATACGTAAATACAGTACAAAAGATCTTTACACAATAGGAATATAAAAAAGTTGTTGTTCCAAGAAGCAACAAGCGCACAGCAAATATTTAATGGCGGCGGCCTGTTTGTTGGAAGCGTGGTGTTGCATGACGTCTCCTGTGTTGTAAGCAGTGGCGCAACGATTATGAGAATTCAGACAGTATGCGTAGTTTAAGAATAGATGGAATAACACAATCAAATATTTGTCAAAATCGAAATTGTTTCATCGTTTAAAATTTTTTCCCTGTTCCAAGGTGTGTAAATTAATGAAACGATGGGCATCTCTCACATGTCATAGTTTTCTTTGAATTTTTGCACGCAATGTAAATGAGTAAAATACATGGTTTTGAATTTCCCCCCGAGGTTCTCGGTATCTATAGAAATCAAAGACACCTCTCACATGGCCGAAGGATGAAGAGTTTTCTTTTAATTTCGTTGATAATTAATAATAAAGAAGAAAATGTATCATAGACCGGTTTCATTAAAAGGTATATACTTCCATACTGTTTGTATCCAATAAGAAACAATACCACTAATATTTTTTAATTATATACGACCTGGCAACTCTTCTTGGCGTTGTTTTTCTAGAAATGTTCTTGCTTTTCTGAAAGCGCTACCCCTTGACACACTCACAAATCGATTTAAGTTTCATAAAAAATCATTCATAAACGTTTCATGAATTTGTTTTGTAATTAATATGGAAGTGAAAGTTGATAGGGGTTGCAACGTCTTTCACTATCTTCCCAACTTGCATCCTGTCTTACCACGGAAATTAAGGCACTTTCGATTGAACATTGATGAATACCAAAATCTTAATTGAAATTAACATTTTGGATTTGGATTTTATTAATTCATTTTTCATTGTTATCACTTGCTCCTACATTTAAATATGTTATAATTTTTTTTAAAATAAACACCCCCAAACATTTTTCTGGTATTGTTCTCCGATCTAGAATTCTGGCAGCTGGTAATTTCTAATTTCCAAAGCCAATAAGCCAGACGCCAATTTGAAAGTGACACTTGTAAGAATATCTTATTTATGTAAAGAGCATATTTAGGAGTGAATATTACTATAACGCCTCAAGAAGTTATATTTAAATGAAAACTATGGACTACTGCTATTGATCTGAGTAACATTTTTTAAATGTTCTTGAAAAGAAAAAAATTGCTAATATAGTGTTTACAAGCTTACACTGATAGTTTTGTGGACATCATTAATAACGTCTTTCATCGATTCAACAAATAGTCCATAAAATGACAGTTTATCGTCAAAACCATTACATCACTTAAGCTCCACGAACTATGAATCATGGCTGACATATTCATGCGTGACGCAGTCATGCTTTGATTTCAATGTTAACATGATATAATAACTATCTATCACTATATTAACCATGGAGTAAGTAAGAGTTGTCAATGTTAAGGTTATAAAGACAAATATAAATGACCTGCCGGGATGCTCAACCAAATATAACTCATTCTAACATAAGTAACCCAAAGGGACGTACCGTATTAAATCAAGTTGTCACTTTTTCTTGTTGCATTATATACTTTCTCTATACTTTGTAGTAAGCTATGATAAACCATTGCGATTTTCAAAAAACAATACAAATACAAATTTTAGTACTCTCTTCACCTCTTTTATTGTCCATGGCATTGATTTGATACTTCACTAGAAGCGTGATCAGTGGTGAATTCAATACGCTTTGCTTTGCATACATTCAATATGATTATTTCATTCTATGCTTTATAATGCTCTAACTAAGTTTTGGGTAGAACTATCTTTTTATATTACACATGATACTATTGTAATGAGACCGCTCAATCAACACGAACGTAGCAGAGTAAAATAAAATGTTACTTTACTATCGAAAACCGCACACGCTAGGCACGCCAGAAATTGGGCTGTTTGGTCACCAGGGAGAGGATTCATAACATTTCGGAATTTGGGGGGCCGCCTGCACCCTCTCGGACAAAGGGGTGTGCTCACCGCATCTGCAAGACAGACACATCGTGACAAGGGGACGCTACTTACATGACACGCCGTGACACAGGGAAGCCGGAAGAGAGACAGCCAAAACTCAAATTTAGGCAAAACGAGCTGTGATTGTCGGATTGCAAACACCTTCTGCGACTCTATAACTAAGAAGACTAACACGGCCCACGCCTCACGATACCTCGGGGGCCTTCGGACCGTTTGTTCACTAAGATCCTGAGAGGAACGCTCGCAGTGGCGAGCCGCGACCGCTTCGCAGCGAGCCTGTTCGCCCACGATGCTCCTTTGAAATGAAATGAATTTAATTTAATTGGTGCCTTATTTTACGTGGCGAGTTCCGGGCCATTAGGGCCGCTCTTCCACCTAACCACGCAAATTTCGATATGCTCCTTTGACCCACTGGCGAAGAAAGGAGGTATCACTCGGGCGACGAAACAGGCGAGTTGAATTTAGCTCAGAGGCTGCATTTAGGCTTGAGGATATTTTACATGCCGTAAATCTACTAATATGGAACATCCAGCTTTGCGCCCCCTCCGAGGAAAGGCAAAGTATGAAAGGATTTTTTCTCCCTTTAAATTCACTGCTTTTATCGGGTTTGAATCCGCGAACTTGGGTATAACAGTCCGAAAGGCTCATTCACAATGTGAACGTAAACATAAGCATAACGCATATTCGTAAACAGTAACATAAGTGATGGACTGAAGCATTCACAACGTCTAACATAAAAGCCAAATATGAGCTTCTATTGGCTGTGAGATATTCTAGAATGCTATTGGTTGGATGTAAGAATCGATTTTGAGATATCTACTGTGTCCATGGCCCAAATAGCGTTAGTTCGTCTATCGATTTCGTTCCTCATTCGATTCTCGATTTTCAGTTACCGTACTGTGTTTGGTTAATTTCTTATGTGGTACCTAAGCACAAAAGCTTCAAGCTTTTGAGTTAACGTCTTACGTGATATGCTTATGCGAACGCATTGTGAATGAGGCCACTTATGTTTATGTTTGCATTGTGAATGAGCCTTTACCGTTACACCATCGCCGCCGCTGATTTCGAGCCCACGGTCGTAGGTTGCGCACGCTCAGTTAGCCTCCCCCGTCAAGCCCATGGGACTAGAGCGCTGCCATCCACGGGCTGCCGTTGCCACCGACTGGCTAGCAATATACCGGCGCGTGAGTCAAGCGCTTCACCACAAGCGTAAATTTAAATTAATTAGGAACGCGAAAGAGTGCCTGATGTGTGTGCTTCTAGGAGTCCGACATGGACTTAAATGGAGAGAATTAATGAGTACTCTCGAACCTAATCTTGTGTCTTAATTACGCATTGACCGCGTTTTGTCGCCAATTCCTTTTTTGCTCCTGCGCTCCCTGCGGTGACAGAGAGAGTCAACTGGAGGCTGCCACTCGGCCGCTCTGTTAATGAAATCCGCCGCCTTCGCAAACGCCGCCTTGCGCGGCCTACCTGCCGCTGATCCGACAGCCCAGGCTTACTAACCGCCGAAAATTATCCTTCCTGCAACCGAGAATGGATGATCCAAAGACCGCTGGGCTACCAAAGAACTGCAAGGTAAGTATAATATGGTTTGTTAGTGCGCTAGCGTTTATTGCATCGTGCATTCTGTGATCGCTTCGCATCTATCGTTTTTATTTCAATTCAATAAACCAATATTTCCAAACTTTACTTATTTTAATCATACCGCATTGTATACCTCCCTGACAATGTCACATCCCCAAATTTCAGAAAAATTTCATCCCCAAATCCCCCCATTTCAGAGCACACTAACAAACTGCATCACACACACAGAAGGTAAGTTAGAGAGTTGGATAGACCTCCTCTGATACTCCTCTTGGCGAGATTATGTTATATAATGAACAATTATTGGTTGAATTATAGAAAGCGACCGACAGATATCCATTGAGGAAAATGCCTGATGCCTAGAAGGTAGTTATTTCGAAGAAGCGAAAAATGAAGTTTGAGAGAGTAATATTTAGAAAGGCTCTCGATCCGTCGATTATGATCCATGGATCATGATTCATTATCCATTCAGGAAGTAATATGGTATAATAACGATGCCAGTCCAATTAAAAACCTGATTCGTATCCAAGAATTAGACCAATTCACACGATGTCTTCTTTAATTCGTGAAAAATATATTAAACATACACAACTTCTTAACAAATACTGCAGTTCACCGTGACGTCAATATAGCAACAGTTCAAATTAAGGCAAAAAATTAGCACAAAATATCACCCACGTCTGGAAATGTATCCCAATCATCTAGCTCTAAACCTACTTGTCAATAGCCAAGAAATTTCTCGACTCAATAGAATTTCCTCTACATTTCCCCGTTTTAATAATTACTATTTATCATTTTTTGCTTTGTTCTAAACTTTTCATATTTTTAATCCTCGTAACAATGTAATAGTATTTTAATCATCTTTTTATTATAGATTTGAAAAGTATCCCTAGAAAATTACCAATGGGGTACCTTTCTTCATTTTATTTCATT